CTAAATTTAAATTAAGAAAAATAATATTTCAATAACATAATTTTTTTTACATACAAATATTATTTCTTTTATTTTTAAAAAGAATATATATATANTAGGATAATCATTTGCCCTTCAACTCCAAAATCAGATTTAGTTGATACTTGATTGTGCTAGTTTGAACTGAACCAGGTGCTTTTATTCTTTTTTTTTTTTCTCCATTGTAATAATTTCACAACAGAACGGTTAAGAATGGACTTTAAGCTTAACTCAACCCACAAAACCAGCTTGTAAGGTGAGGTTTGTACACACCTACACATTATAAATCAGTCTTATCTCTAATCGATATAAGACTTCCAATGAGAACATGAACATCGAGAAAGACTAATATAATAATGAAAAGATTATGCAATGAAGTCATCAGAACTAGCTATGTTACTTGGTTTCTGTTTCATGAACATAGATCCTAATGGCTTATTGGTTATGTTCTAGTTGCAAAAAATTAGTTGAAGTTATCTTGAGCTACTGTACCTAAACTTACAAATACTGAAAATAACATGAAATATAAAAGGCTATTGGCTAGTACTATTTATGAACTTTGGCACTAGAATATGGTATTTGATGTATTAGGATAGCATAACACTAAATTAGCAAACACTTTCTAATGGTCTATAGTATAGCAGCTAGCAAGATAGCTAAGTCAAACAAACTCAAGACCCACAGAAAGAACATGTAACCTAATAGCACAACAGACAGTGTCCAAAAGATCTCATCAATCAAATAAACCATGAACCCTAGAAAGTCCCTTTGACCACAGCATTTGGTTACATGAATCAAATTAGAATTGTACAGCCCCACAAACAGAATCCAAGCATACAACAAAAAGAAAAATAAAAAGAAAGAAAAGAAAGTTGGCAACCTCTGATTGGACAATGTGGAATCCAAGTCAGCATTTGCCACCATGTAATGAATATTCGTACATTAAATCATATGGACCGGCCCACTAATTATCCCAATAACATCCACGAGGGGATCCAAGTCTCTTTCATGTCCATTACTCTCTGGGAATCAACAGAATTTTTGACAGTCAATATGTTTCTAAAATAGTTTCTGCTTTACAATTCATTTGAATATTCTTTTATTCTCTCGTAAAAGTGGCAAGGGAAGTCACAATAAAAGGTCAGTGATGCAATTATCAGCATGTATCTCATATGGTTAAGAAGTTTTTGAGAGACAAGAACAAACGGAAACAACATTCTGGTACTGTTAAGGACACTGCTAAAATGTACACAAAAGACAAATATGTGTCATTTACATATTACAAGCACAGCAATGTTATGATGAATTATTGTTAGTGAAGAAGGTGGTGAGTTAGTATGAGTTTGAAAGGTAAGGAAACAGACAAGAAGATTAAACAAATGGGAAAAGAGAAAAGAAAAGGGAAATGGGGAGTTTCAATAAAGATAGGTGAATGCTTATGATGGAATAACAAGTCTTCGAGGTTTCATTTTGACCATCTTTTGCATTCTTTTTCTATTCTTTGGTTGAAGCACTGCTGCGGCTGCTGCTGAACTATTTTATTCTTTCTTTCTTTGTTTCTTTTTTAGTTTTCTCTCTCACACAAACCTCAGCTTTATCTCAATGTATGTATGCATCTATCCCTATAATCTTTCTCTCTCTCTCTCTCTCTCTTCAATGGTAAGAATGAATGAGCCAAGATCTGGCCTCCATTCTCTTGGGGAAGGGTAAAGGGAAGTAGAGGCAAACTGTAAAGAAGAATAAAGAGGAAGGGAAGTGGGCTGATTCGATTCTCCTTGGGAATCGTTTCCATGCAAGACCACGACCACATCATTTGTATTCTGCTATCTGTGATTGTGATTGTGATTGTGTGCGTACTTTTCCCAAGCAAAGACGTAAATACTTCAATGTTTTCTACTCATTATTATGGCTACCTTCTCACTGCTAAGGATATATATGTTGGATCTCTTATCTATAAGACCAGTTTAGAATATTTAAGTAGTTTTACAAGTCCGTTTTATAGATTGAGTTAGATTTATAATTCACTTATTGACAATATCTATCCTTAGTTTTGTGTTTTTTCTATTTCTATATTATAATATGTTATGCCATGATGTCTGCTTTTTTTTTCTCTCTCACTTTGTTTTTTCCTCTATCACTTTCTTTCCTGTTTTGTTAAAGTGTTCTGTTCATTGAACATTACTTATGATGAAGTTTTCACCAGCTTTTTCAATTTTTATTTTTAACTTATACATAAATTTGGTTTTTATTTTCTTAAAAAAATCAAAGACAAACTCTAGCAAAAGGCCTATATGTCACATGGTCTTGTGTTATACGTAACTTAACAGCTAAGCACACTGAATCTATTGGTGATTAATTAATTGTATATGACTTCTATGCAGAGGAATGGAAGGAATATTTCACTAAAAAAATCTGTTTTATCGATATCAAGTAACCCTTTGTACTTCCCTATTCTAAAAGTGTGCTCTTTAAAAGATATACATTGATATGAAATGCAAGTACATCGTATTGTTGTTCATGAAATTATTGAAAATTTGATCCACCCTGTCTTTTGTTGAGGTATGCTAGTAGTGTACTCTGTACCATATTATGCTTTGAAATTTATTAAATATGTAAAACCATGATTTGGTTAAACTGCATATGTTCCTTCTGCATAAAACACACTAATGTTAAATCCTTCTGTTAGCATTAGCTCTGTTGCATAGATATACACATTAAGGAACTCATAAGCATATAAAAATAACTTTTAAGTTGAGATTTGCAGCCACTTATATAACGGGTGGGTGGTCTGGGTGAAATAATATATCATAGAGATCTCGCTCGTTAGGATGATACTATGTTAAAAAGTAGATTTTAAGCTTAACTCAATTCTACAAAATCAGCTGGTGAGGTTTGCACCCACTTATATATTATAAATTGATTTTATCGACTAGAGACTTCCAAGAAACTTGCACCCACTTATATATTATAAATTGATTTTATCGACTAGAGACTTCCAACTATTGTTTGCTATCCAAATCCATGCTCTAAGATTTATAATAACAGTTAAGAAGTAAATTTTAACCTAACTTAATTCTACAAAATCGATTTATACGTGTATTTATATATTATAAATTGACGTCACCTAGTACACCTAGTAGTCTGACAATTGAATTAACTGAGAGATGAAAGAGTGAGAAATGTTGGTTATGCAAGCAACGTAGGAACTTCACCTCAACAATTGGAAATTATTCTCTGATACAAACTTCTGGTTTAAGGTACTACTCTGCACAAAAGAGTTGGAAAAGGTGGAGTGGAAGGTCATAAGGCAGGACCAAGAGTGATACAGAGTTTCGGATATCAACATTCATCCATGCATAGCCAAATTTCTAAACATCCGCAGCCACAGACAACCTCTGAACTGAACAACAAAAAATAGTGTGTATGAAAGAATCATTGTGGTCCCTGTTGAACACACAGTAAACTAATCCTCCACCTACCCATGTTTCCTCTCTTCAAGTTATACTCTAGAAAAACTATTATTGTATGAAGTTTCCACTTGTAAAACTTTATCTTGGATTTTGAAGTTCCAAATTTGATCAAAGATATGGAAACCTAAATTTAGAGGACATAAAGTTGTGTATGCAAATTATTGTTAGAAATACACGTGAGAGAAAGTAAAGATAAAATCAATTTAAAATATATAAAAGATTAATTTAAAATATATAAATAAATGTAAAATAAGTTAATTATATGAAATTAAATTAGATTTAAATTATTTTTTATGATTATGAATTTCTTAAAACATAATACGTGATGAAGCATGCATCTTAACCAAAAAGTAAGAAAAACAATTATTATTATTATATCACATTTACTTTGTTTGGATGCAAAATGATATTTTGGTATAAATAAATTTTTTATATTGATATTATTCTTTTCTTTTAAAAGTGTAAAAGTTTTTTTTTTACGATCATTTTATTTTTATAATATATATTACATGAATTTAAACACGTGTTATGTTACCATTACTTTATTTTTATTTATAAAACTAAATTTAAATTAAGAAAAATAATATTTCAATAACATAATTTTTTTTACATACAAATATTATTTTTTTTATTTTTAAAAAGAATATATATATATATATATATATTAACTTTTTTCTAACTATTTTATCTTTTTATAATATGTATAAAATAAATGTAAATTATGTCATCTTATCATTATTACTAAATTAAATATTTAATTTTTACCACTTAAATTTTAAATGCAAATAGTTGATTACATTTGACATGTGTTGTACACGTGTTGATCAATTGGACACGTGGCGATAACAAAACAGACCATAAAATAGTATAAATAAATTAAGCAGTGAATGCAATTCAGACCATTGTATTATATATTTATTCATATAGTATATGGTTAGACACAGAGTGATGAGTAATTTTGATGAGTAAAAATGGCATCTGGTGATGAGAGTTATATAGCTGGTGAGACCAATGCTCAAACTCAGGTACCAACTTATATGGTCTTTCATGCAACCTTAAACCTTTTCATTCTTCTTAATGTCTTGTTCTCATTCTTAACTGTAACTGTTGATGGATTAATGGATCAGGAGAAGACGGACCAAGAGATGGGACAAGTGGGGCAGAAGGCCCAAGAGAAGAGTGATGAAAGTAAAGAACGGGCCTCTGAGATGGGCCGGTGTATGAAGGAATGGGCCCACTGTGGAAAGGAGAGCACTGGTGGGTTCTTGCAGGGTGTTTCTGAGAGTGTGAAGAATAGCTTTGGTATGGCCCCACAGAATGATGAAGACGAAGAGTACTATTACTACTACCCAACCCAGAATCGCAGAGAATAAGCTTTCTTGAATATAGTTTATAACTGAATGTTTTTCTTATAGATTCTTTTGTTTTGAACATGTAATTGAAATGTTTCTTATGGCTTGAGTTTTCTTCTGCTAATGTTATCTTATTGTGTTTTTATATTAATTCATTTTCATGAAGCCTTCATAAATTGCTGAGTTTCTTTCATAGATGAAGCTTGCATATATATTCAAGTTCCAAAAAATAATCTCAAAATAAACGAAACCAAACATGTTAAATTCCTATGATTGTGTAGAACATTTCAAAACTGAGTATTAGCATGTGCCTAAGCAAATGCATACAACACTTGGGCCATTGCCAATTACGTTAAGACAAAAAGACACTATCAATCTTCCATCATATCACTTGCACCATCAAGTTCTTGTTCTGATTCTTCTTCATCTGTGATATCCTGGCCAGTTTCCATGGCCTCTTCATCAGATTCTTCTTCACTACTATCCTTATCCTCAAAGATAACTGGCACTGTTTCATCTTCATCGTCCTCCTCAACAATAACCTGTTCCAAAGAAGACACTAATAATAAACACAGGTTTATCACAACTTTTGCTAATTACTTGCAAACAGCTCAAAGAGGCTTACCCCTGAGTAAAGAATGTCTAAGCAACTTGAGAGTTGGATGGCAGATTTAAAAGTGGAGACTCTAGACTCAATCAGCTGCACACACAAAACGAATCAAATAAGGAAAGAGTCATTTTTGCAAACATGATCAACATTTAAATGTTCTTCTACAAGCATGTCATGTCTTCTACAATCCTTCTCAAGGGATTCTGCAGCTCGTGTAGTACTGAAGAAGAACATAAGTTCATCCATTGCTTTACAGTTAAATACAAAACAGAATGTCTCTCTTAAGCATAGAAAGAAGAAATTATATTACATGTAAATGATAGTTTAAAAGACACAGGTAGAGAAAATGACATATTAAGTGCTTATCGAGTGGATTCATCACACGGAACTCACTTGATACAAAGAGTTCAAAGCTTTTAATGAAGATTCCTGGGACAATATTCCGCTCGCATGCTGTAGAAGTAGATACTTCAACCACGGAAGCGCACAAGCCAAGATTGCACCTCTAAAACAAAAGGAAAGTAACACTTATTTAAAATTAATCAGGAGTCAGTACAAAATCTGATAGCTAAAAAGTATATTACTGATATCACATGTTATGATTCTGTTGGTTGCTGTTTAAGTTACAGTACTGTAGATGGATATTGGATACTGCTTGTGTCTATGTTGCGTCAATTTTAATGCAACTTTTCTTATACATATATTTTATTTTAGTCAATTTTATCAATAGGCTTAATTGTAATTTTATCAATCCCAGAATTCTTAATGATCCATAATTTTGATCCCTTAGCTGTTAATTATCCTTAACTTTCTTAACTATAATTTTTTCTATGTTCCCTAGAAACATGCGTACTAAAGATACATTTACTAGATTATTGTTGAGTTTACCTAGATTCAATAATGGATATGAGGGAGTATAGAAGTTTGAGGACGTTGGATGGGTTCAACTGAGCAATTGACTTTCTAATAACCTGCAAAAGGAGTTGTTGCATCAAGCATAGCATTTAATAAACTGAGCAAGAGGACAACTTCCATTCAAGTATACATAAACTCCAATAGAAGAGAAAGATAACCTTCTCATCTTGCGTATACAAGCAATCTAGCAAAAGGGTGCGATCGTCAGCATTTAATGCTTGCTTAATCAAAACATGTACGGAGTCTGCACTTGGAGGCTTTATTGAGACAGAAGCTTCTTGCTCTTTGTCACTCCTGAATTTGTTCTCTTCCAGTAAACTTAGACTAGCAAGTTTCTCTCCCATTGTTGGCTCATCCAAATCATTATCAAGGAGAACTCCTTCTGCAGCCTCATGTTGATCTACATTAAATGTATTACAAGAAATACCAATCAATTCTTAAATACAGAATGCATACTTCTAAGAATTGGTGGTTCTATGGTTCATCATGCCGAAGAGTAAATTTACATAAATCCATAAGTGAATGGTTTTAGTAAAACTATTAGACCTGAACAAGAATTTAAAGAAATTTAATCGTCTTAAATATTAGGATCGTTCAGATTTCTATAGCCTATACGTTCAGAATCTTGTCATGCAAATCATAAGTACAACAAAAAAATAGGTAATTCACAAAATTCAGGGAAGAAACAACCGTGTATAAAAATGTGCTCTCAATTTCAAAGAGTACACGACTTAGAAAATAAGATCCAATAACATGCTATTCATGCTGAGTAAGAACAGTTCTTACCTAAATCCACCATGTCAGTTGTAACATCAGGATCAGATGGTGCTTGTCTTTTCTTAGTTTTCTTGCTTTCCATTGATATTGCTGCTTCCAGTAAGGGGGACATGTACAGGAATTTCAAAAGTTAAGAGAACATATATAGACACCGAC